TGTGTGTGTGTGTGTGTGTGTGTGTGTGTGTGTGTAGTTAGGGGACTTTCCAGTCCATGGACAGATGGAGAGACTGGGAGACAGGAGGCTTGCTGGCATGAGCTACGCACAGGCTGGTGTGCATGTAAGTATGCGAGTGTGTGTGTGTGTGTGTGTGTGTGTGTGTGTGTGTGTGTGATGCCTGTGTGTTTGAGTGAGTGCGTGCCGCGAACACACACACACGTGCACGTCCGTTGCGTACATGTGTATCCAGTGTGTATCACACGAGGTCATGTGCGTGTGTTCGTGGTTTTCATGTGTTTGTGAGTGTGAGAAAGAGCAGTAACACCTTCCCTCAGTGTGTTCAGCACCTCTCTCCAGCTTTGACCTTGGCAGGGAGTGCGGACAGGTCACCAAACCAACTGTCTATGTGGCTGTGTGTCTGTCTTCCAATGTATTTTCAATGCACAGGGTCGAAACATGGCATTTTGAGACACTTTAGCCCCACTGAGAGAGAAGTTGTAGATTTGACTTCCATTTGCGTGATCCTCTGTACAGATGCTATGTTGTACCTAAGTAGCTGCGGTAACCATTTCAATACATGCAAAGTAAACTGCTCTAAAATTTTTATAAAAATGAAGTGAAGTGAAATGCATGGGTGGGTACAGCAGAAATAGATTATATAAATACATTATTTTACGTATAACTAACATATAGATCACTTTACTTTTCATAAGGAGGACCACTCAACCTACAATGTAGTTTACTCAACACAGATACCATAACTTTTGGTGCACAAGACGGAATTTTTCAAACTTTGAAAAAAATTACCCCTATCATGTTACCACTGGTTTTTGTTTGTTTGTTTTTTGTGATATTTCAAAAAAATTTGTGTTACAAACTAGAGACGTGTTAATTCTTAATTAAAGTCTAGCAGAATTGCTAGAATACACATTTTAAGTCTGTCTAAGAACAATTTCAATCTTCTGAACCTCAAGCCGTGGGCATTTGTTGTTTTGTTGATTTTTTATTTTTTTTTTGCTCCTGCCACATTTTTACTCAGTGGACTCAGTTTTTCCTGCAATAAATAGCCCTGCACCTCTATGGAAACAGCACAACCATAGCTAGAAGTAGAGATGACTGAGAAGTGTTTTTTGTGCAGAATAAGAAAATTGTATCCCATAAATCATAAAGAAGGAAAAATTAAATAGAAATTTTCTTTTTTTTTTTTTTTTGTCATGTGACTGATGGTCACAGCTAAGTGGCTTCTCAGCTGCACCAGGCTGATTTATTTTTTAAATTTTTTTATAGAGTCTGGTTAATTGAAATGGTCTATTTTGTTAGACTTCTAAACTAGGCATGTATAAGTCATTTTAATGACGCCTTGTGATTTGAAGCTTATCTTTGGTCAAACCTTCCTAACACCACATATGACAAGTTCAAAGACCATGGCAATCCGATGATTCTTTCTGTTTTTAAAGTTTTGAGCTTTGACAAATGGTGCAACTTTGTCGTTTCTTTAAAGACAACATGCCTTTCAAACTCACTGGTGAGTTTTGGGGTTGATTCCAGAAAAAAACAACACTACCCCAGATCTTTGTTGTGACAGAAAAATATGTAATTACACAAAATATAATATTTTTTTAATTGTTTGATCTGCTAATAAGCTCCAACTGGGAACTACAGCATCCCTTGTTTGTGTCCAACGGGGGCTGCCACTGTGGCGGAAAAAAAAATCATAAATGTTGTCACCAATGCAGATTAAAATCTGCCGGTATAATTTCTAGTGGATTTTTTACAAGCTGACTCCAAACCCACTGATATACCACTGATTTTATAGTAGTCTGACTTAAGTGTGCATTAAATGTGTACAGCCACACCTCATGAGGTCTCTTCATGTCAATCTTAAAAGCAATAGCAAGCTAAATTGGGGTGCAACTGAGCTAGCTTAGCATAGAGTCACTGGCATCGCCCCATCTCACTTTAGTTGATTACCATTTGGGGACAGGCAGGAAAGGCAGCGTTTCATTACCTCTTGTAGTTCAGGTCTCCACGTGCTCTATAATGGAACTTGTACTTGAGGTAAAGTGAGGTAAAGTAAGGTAATGTCGCCTTTTCAATTACATGCAGTGACCTAAAAGGCATTGACGTGTGGTAAAGAAAAATTAGCAAAATTCTCCAGAGATGAAACTATCCCCCTGACCACTGGTTTGGAGTCGGTCCAACGCTCACCTGCTTTGATGTGGATGCTGGGGCTTCGAATCTTGCCTGCTTGGTTCTCAGCAGTGCAGAAGTACTCGTTGTCGTGGATAATGCTGTTATAGGCGGACGGAGAGAAAGGGTAGAGCTGGAGGGTGCCGTTGGCATGCACGTGGCGGATGTGGGGCACGTCGTAAATGTCGTCTCCGGCGGCCAGGTACCAGCGCAGGACGGCATGGGGGGCGCCGCCCGCAGGGCAGGGCAGGGACACCCCCACCGAGCTGGAGAAGGTCACCCGCTGCAGGGAGGCGTTCACAAAGTACAGCCGCGTAGAGACAACATCCTCACTGTTGACTGTTAGGATGAGAGAAAGGGAGACAGACTTAGTTAGCTGGTATGTGTCAGACAACGTTCATGTATCAGACAGGTGTGAAAACAAAGAGCGTGTGCACAGTCAAAAAGCAACGCTGAATGATGACTGGAATTATTCAATATAACTGCAACTGCAACACTAGATTGCCAGTATAACAATGTAATAACGTATTAACACTTTATCTGCTGATACATACAACTCACAAGTCTGCAACAACGCATTGCATTGACATACTATGTGTACAAGTGCAGTAAGTGTTTAATGAAAGGAGTAATATTGCTCAACAACGTGGGGCGTTTCTATCTCTATTCCTTAATAAAAAGGTGTCAAACTCACTGCTGAGGTACTGTTTGGAGATGTGTGACTATTGTATCCCACAGCAGCAGCAGCAACTGTGTATTCAAATAATGCTGTGTTTCTTGACAAGCATGTGCCTTTTCATACGAAAGCACAAACTGTAATGTTAATACTTTAACATAAAAAAATACCACATTCCTTATTTGACATGTGAAAGGCTACTGCTCATGTTAAATGACCAAATTCCATCAAATGCAGCTGCACACACCCCCACACATTCAGCACACAAGCTGGATCTACAGGCATCCAGGTCACCTCAACCCAAACAACTTTCTTCCTGCGTGCCAAACTGCACTCATCCATCTCATCCCATATGCATTATCCTAATATCTCTAATCTAATATATGTATCCAGGGAGTCCTTTGGAAATCTGCCTCTCAATAGGAGGGAAAATGGGTCGCATAACTAGACCCCAACCACCACCTTTATCTTTTCTGCTGATATCCCCCGTCATGGAGGAAAACAAAGAATTCACATGGGTGTTAGTTAAGCACTCCGTGTCTCAGACCAGCTCAAGTCATATCATATCATTGTGGGAAGGCCTCTATCTGTAGCCCGAGAAGCCTGAGGATCTGGATATCACACGTTTGCTGTAAAGCAATTCTATTGTGGCACAGATGAAGAGCTGCTACCAGATAAGTTGTCCTAGGGGATACAGACCACCAAATATCCTCTCTCCCAAAATGCCCTCGCCCAGTTTAAAGTGAGCTAGTGAGGCATTCTTTAAGATCTGTGTGTTTCTGGCATGTAAGCTGGGATTGGTGTAAAGAAGTGCTGAGCTCAGCTTGGCTGGAGGCCAGGGGAAGACGCTGTGCCCCGAGCCAGAGAATTTTCTTCTCAGACAATGATACTTAATTAATCCCTTTTCCTGGATTGTGTCAACAATGCCTGGATTAGCCATATCTATTTAATTCTCTGTGTGCTGGGAGAAAAATAGGGTGTTGGCTATCAATGGAGATATAAAGACACTATCGGATGTCATTCAGGCTCTAATTTTTTTCAGAGCCTCTACATCAAAGGATATCATTAGTAGCCAGCTATAAAATGAAAGACTGGCTCTCTATTTAAGATCTCAGTACGTGGCAAGAACAAGAATGAATGGTTGACATAAAAGACTATTTTTACATCAGTTCTGTCCAGTATAAATAGTAACATGCGATGACATAATGACATTAGTAACATGACATGAATGGGATAAATCACAAGAGAAAGAGCTCAAACTAAAATGTAGGGATTAAGCACAAAAAGTGGTATAAGGTGATTTACCCCCACTCCACTATTGTCTGCCACTTCATGCATCCATCTGCATCCCTCTATCTTATCTGAGTAGCTCATTCTCGTGTCGCTGTTTCCTATTGTTTACTCACCCTTCACAGATACCCCTCCAAGACACAAAGACGCTTTCCCTTGTCTTTTCCTGCCACATTAGAGACAGGCAATGTTCTGTGATTGAAATTTGTATGCCAGACGCAGAGAGTTAAACCCACATAATCTCCTTTCACATTTAACACACACATAGTCTATCCACTCTGTAATCGCACTGCTGTGGGAGGCCGATGTCCGACTTCCCTGGTTTTCATGCGTGTGTGTGGGTGTTGAGCGGAAGGGGAGATCAGGGAGCCAGGCAGGAACAATATTGTCGACAGGACATGGGTGGCTGGTCGAGGGTAAAGGTTCTCGGGAGCAAAGGTGTTTTGGATGCAACCGAGTGAGTGAGTGTGTGTGTGTGCATCTGTGTGCGGTAAGGTCAAAGGGATAGAGAGGTTAATGTTAAATAACTGCCTCAGTTTTCGATGTCAAGCTCAGCCAGCAGCGAGATGTGCAGACAGAGAGAAAAAAAAAAAGAAGAAGCTGTGATCGCTGCCCGGGTGCATGTGCAGAGTATGAGACTGTAAATGTACGAGCACGATGGAGATGGAGGAGATAGAGAGTCATTGTTGAAGCAGATCCTCTGTTCAAAAAAATTGGAATTTAGGTCAAGTTCAATCCATCCTGCCGTTTGAATCCATGTCAGTCACTGTGGCGGGCTGCTAAGGCTGACTGATCTGCACTTTCAGCACCATGGAGAGCACCATGATGTGCTGCTGGCTGAGGAACACAAATGTTTCCATAGTGAGTAAATAAGGAGGAAACTATTAGCAGGTGATATCAGTGACAGTGACCTGCTTCTGTTTGATGGCAATAGTCTATTTATTGAAGCTGAATATTCTCATGACAACCACGATGTATCCTTGGTTCGAAAGCGCTCACAAAAGAAACAATTTCACTGTGCAAAAATTGGTCTTCAGAATGTTATTATCCTCACAAAACGTTATTCTTCAGAGTACTGGTTCTTAAATCCTAAAGCCCTAACAGATGAGCTCAAATGTCTTAACTATACATCTCTGAGGATGGGGAGGACTTTGTGTAACTGTGTGACAGTATTACACCACAGACAAAAGTTTGGTGCATCTGTAGCTGCATGTGAACGCATTCAAAACCAAGCAATTCTGGAAGTGTCAGTGTTTAGTCATTGGCTCGTTTTCTTCAGTATGTTTGGTCAAAAGTTTTCATTCCTGGCAACAAGTTAATGTGTCAACCTTTTATACTATATTTCCACATATTCATTTTGATCTTTATGTCCACTTGCTAACTATTTTTCATGCAAAACTCTGTGCTTGGTTGCTGCATTTCACTCAGATTGATGCTGAGGAGAAAAGTCACCTTGATGTACTGCTAAAGATCAGAATCCCCCCCAATTTGTAATTCTGAATGTCGATATATGTCATGTACGTCAAATCCTAACCTGATTTTTTAATTATTATTATCTGAGCAACTGCACAAACTCTCCAAGTGCAGAAGTACCCCTTCAGGTAAAAGTAAATCAGTGTTTGATTTGTGGTTTCCCACCTTTAGCCCCCTAAAAATGTCCCTCATCTACTGGTAGCAATTATTTTTCTTGTTTAGCTGAATATTTTCTAAAGGCCTGCAGAAGTAAAATTAGAAAAGTAACACTTTTTTTTTTTATTTTTTTTACAAAAAAAGGCTAAAATGTGAATAAATAAGCAAATTATGTGCACAACAATATTTTTTTTTATAAAAATGTTTCCCATTCTAAGGTGGTTTATTCATCTTACAACCTCTCAGATTTTTTATCTGAGCACTTATGAGAGTCCCGACCCCCAGGTTGCGTCCCCCTTGCTTATGCTCTAAAACTTGACAAACTGTTGAAAATCAACAAACCTTAAACTATCCTGTGATGTCATCAAAGATGGCCTCAAGCAAAAATTATAAACAGATCAGACAACAACTCAAAGTCAGAGGCAAAAAAAACCTTTAAAAAGCAACAGCTTATGATGCGAAGGCTAATCGCTTTGTCCTACGGTATGAATTCAGGTCACTGAGTTCACACATAGTACACACAGTCATGCACGCAAAGACACATGTGTACAAACACACGGAAGCGAGCCACCGCGGTCAACACTGCACAGATTACAGCCTCCAGCAGAAAAGACCATCATGATGACAGTTAACACGTGTTTTATGGCAACTGCGGTTTAGATTTTGGTGTGAAAACATCCAAATTAAATGAGGAAGGATGAGATTGTGAAGAAACGATTAAGAAGTTGAAGGATCTGGCTTAAAAAATATCAAATATCACTTGGCATAAGGGGCTCCCAGGCTGCGATATGATACAGGAAAGAGCTGTAAGATGTTGTTGGACAATTGTGGAGTTCTTATTTTCTTGCCTTCCCTGGAGTCTTGACCTTTATAGTATATGTGACAGTTGAAGTGTACATATGGGACAGCAATTATAGGCATTATTGTCATGTGAAAAAGTAAGCATGCTGAATTAAAGTGCACAATTCAGGGCATATACTAATTATCTAACCCAGAGATTTTATGAAATGTGACTGAAATGTATGGATGGCCACAGGTAACCAAAAGAAAGTAATCTTTTTTGTCAGATATCATAATCAAGTCAATGATTCATGTAAAGCAGCATGAAAAACATGCTAAAAACATGAAACACAATAACCTAGATTTTCCTGTTTATTTGGGCAACATCCAACCTCAGATGTTATCAGAGTCCTTCATTGCCCCAGGCTCCCTTTCCACCCTTTCCCCAGCAGAGAAATAAGGAGCAAAGGAGCAGCACTCATTCATTCATGAACTGTATTTTGATTAGCTTCTTCAAGCCTGGGTGCACTGATTACAAAGAAGAAGGTCAAAGTGATTTTGGGTGAAACACCCAGAAACATCTTTCCTGTTGGGTGAACCCTTCACTTTTTTTTTCTATATTTGTTCCCTTTCTAAACTTTTTTTTTTTTTTTGTGCCTGTGTGTCCTTTTCTGGTTCTCTTTTGACACAGATCTTTTTTTTTCTTTTTTTTTGCTATATACACTCAAATACATTTGCACTTTTTTTCCCTGTTTTTGCAGTGGATATGAAAATGGAGTATGAATATGTATGCTGGAGAAGCAAGGATATTGCCTATGGTGAACCGCTATGCATAATGCAGCTTTTTCTGTCTCATCTACATTCATTCAGACACACACACACACACTGAGATTCATACCGTCACGTGCATAGAAAAACAGGGCTATAAATCCCTCCTTCTACCTCCCTCTGTAACTCTTTCTCTCCTTCAAACAGACACACACAAAGTCACGTAAATACGTTTCAGTTTGCACTTATATGTTATTAATAGCAAGTAGATTTTCTATGTGCTGAACCATGTAGCACTACAGATAACAGCACACAAAACACATAAAGGCCAAATAACAGCGGAAGCATTGAAGTCGGTGGCAATGCAGCCTTTGCAGTGATGCTGCATAAAAATGGCTCGACATAAAAGGCAAAAGATACGATCATGTCTGATAGAGGGAGCTGCTCATTTACTATACAATAACGGCAGATTGAGATATGCATTAGGGTTGCATGACAATGTTTCTCTCTGGTTTTGTGTGCAGTCTGAAAAGAAATAATTCCTAACATGGTTTCATTTTCAATAGGTGGAGCCATAAAAGGAAAACTGCATGGTATGATATTGGTGAATACACTATGCATGCACACACATATACAGGGGAGAGGGATAGTAGGTGGTAAACAACCCCTATACACAGTTTATGCAGTGTCAGTAAAATATTAGGCAGCCATTTCAGCATTTGAAAATTCACATCTCCCACTTCAAAAAGATGATTTCCGCTGTTGAAGTGAGTGTCAGGATTGTAGAGATGTTTTTTTTTTTTCTATTCTCCCTCAGAGACAGGGCCATAAATTGTTTGATAGTAAGCAGAACAGGAGAGGGGAAAAGGAGAGGCGGAGTGAAAGAGAGCTGATCGTGTGTATGATTGTTTTGTTGCTTGTTTGTTGTTTGCTTGTTTTATGTTTTGTCGTTTCCGACGTGATCATCAATCTCTCTCTTCCTGTGCGTAAAAGGAGAGGGTGGCCTTAGGAGCAACCGGACACTATAAAACCTGTTGAGTTTAGCGGTCAAAATCCACCTCTGTGTGACAGCTTACAGAGCAGTGACGAGGCTGTTGCTGAGGCCTAAGATCTAAAGCTGCGTAACGATAAACAGACATTTGAGCCATCAGGGAACATTGAGGCTGCTTTTCTGACTGCTGTGTGGTAACTGAATAAGCTCAGTGCAAGATAATCCCTCTTTCCAAATCCTTTCGTGCGCCATTGTTCACTTAGAAAATCTTACTGTCCCTAAGTGGGGGAAAAAAATCCCCATATTAATTTTTTAGCATAATAACCTGTTATGATTAAAGTGCACTTTCCTTACTGTGCCTGAAACCATCACCTCACACCAACTAGCCCACGCAGTTGGCGTGTTTCAAAATAAAAAATGTTGAGATGAATATGAGAGCAAACAACTTGTTCAGATGGACGTGCTTGTGGCGCACCATTCAACTGCCAAGCGCAGAAGCGTCATTTGTTAACAATGAAAACAACTTTTTCTCGGCGGAGCACAACGAGGGAGGCAAGTTAACCTGAGAGTGACATGTGGCTGTGTGCTGTGGTGCTGTCTCTCTCCAAGAAAACTTACAGGTTGCGTGGGCAGAACCGGAGAAATAATACGCGTCGAGGTCTAAATTATGCGTAATTGGAGAGATGTCGCGGAGAGATTGAAGGACACTTCCAACCAAGTTATTGAGCTCATTTCGGTTTTAAGTTTGAACTGAGTAGAGACAAATGTTAAGATCAATCTAATGTTGTGTTAAAATGGGACAAAGACAAGGCAAGAGGAGGGCTCAGCTTGTTCTGTCCTTTGCTTAGACTACTTTGTTGCAAAATTACGCGGAGACTCTTAGAATGCGTAATTTAAAAGAAATCCAGGCATACACTGCGCCATTCACCTGCACAAAATATTCTAACTTTCTGCAACTACGTGGCACACCTTCCCTAAATAGAAGCAGATTCACCCGGATTCTATGTCGTGCTATTTAGAAACAGGGGGAAAAAAATACAACTTCAGAGATGTTGTCATACTTCCATGCGCCACTGAAGCTTCACTTGTCCAATCCAGAGGCGACATCTCCAAATCCATCGTACGGGTGCAGCCAAGTAGCCACCAGAGTCTGACTCATACCGCAATTACTGGGCTCCCCCTCCACGCACTTCTCCTCTAGTCGGCATTTGTTTTGTATCCAAGTTTACACACAATCCGCGGTCTGCAGATAAGCGACTGAGGCCGGTCTCAAGAATATACAGGAGTCTCTTTGTAAAGTAAATTCTCCAAACTGCGCCATACAGGTGATCTTAAAACAGAACCAATCTCCACACTTGTGTTGAAATGATTCTTAAAATGCAACGTGCTGTTAAATCAAGAAAAAATACACTGACGTTAAATGCCACCACATTTGATCTTATCAGACTGTTCCCAGACAGAAGCACACTATGGGTCTAAACATTCATAAAACGAAGAAACACGATGCTCAACCCATCAAATGCAAAGATAATAAATAAAGTTCAGGCACAAAATAGAATGAAAAGTGTTCTATATCTATGCAAAAACAACGCTGTAGCACAGACAGTAATCAGTTTAATGTCAAGTATGTGTTGCAGGAGGCCTGTCGACCGAAACTGGATAAAACCGGAATCCCATTAATTGATGAAATAATTATAGCAAGAGCTCTTACTCCAACTCCATCACTACGTGGTGTTTTTTCCCTGAAATTTGTACAATCACGGACTGAAATTCCTCAAATTCCACACGAAAACGAATGTCTTTTTTCCAACCGATTTAAAATATATATTCATTGCAATCACCATTTGAGCCTGTTCCAGTTTCTCAGGCCCTTTTCTGGCCTGTCAGGCCTGAAAGAAGATTCCCACACAGCACCACAGCTGAGTTTGTCTCAATTTTATTTCCATAAAATGACAAGCAGCCTCCCAAATCATGACAAAGAAGAATGAGTGTACTCTCCCCCCCTCCTCTGCCTCTATCCATCCATCTATCCATCCCTCTCCTCTCCCCCTCCTCTGCGCACTCATGGGTGCAGGTGTGCTGATATGCAGCCAAACTAAAGCAACAAACGGTCAGTAATGATTGAATGAATGTCTAATTAGCGACAGAAAAAGGGACAAAGAAAATCAAAATCATCCTGAATAGGTGTGATCTGACAAATCTTCATACTCATGCAAATAATAATAATAATAATAACAAGCAGAGAATTTGTGTCATTCTAGGAGGCGCGGCCGAGCCATGAAAATACGCAGTACTAATGCATATGCATGTATGATAATAGACCTACCTTTTCCCCTTAATACAACGGTTTTTTAAAAATATGCACATCTAAAATACACAGCAAGCACATGAAACAATAAATCACAGCTGATTCGTGCAAAATGAGGGAAACATGGCGTTGAAAAACAACGGAAAATGGAAGTTTGTTTTCCACTGCGTTATCTACATCTCTCCCATCTCAAGCACTCTTTCCGCTCCAGTGGCTGTTTGCAGCCCCCCCCAACCCTCCTCCCCTCACCACACACACACACACACACACACACACACACACACGCACACACACACAGTACATCTCGTTCAGTCACGGGACAGGGCGATGTACAGTGTGTATAATCGAAATAGACCCTGTAATCCAATTACATACAACAAAAACAGCACAGAAGTCCCCGCCGCAGCTGCAGCCTGGCAGAGGGCACTGCCAAGGCCAATGATGGCGACCAGGAGCATGAAACAGGCGTACAGAAGCACAATTATAAACAAATGCTTAAGCCTTTTTATTAATTGTATCAACTAAAAAGCTTTATAATCATGTATCCTCAGTCACAGACCCGTGCGTATACAATGGATGATAATTAAGAGCAAAATTAAGTCTTCTTGTTCTTTTTTCTCACTGTGTGATTGTCACGAAGTGACAGAAATCCATACAAAAAACGGCACATTTCATATTTAAAAGGCAAAATGAATCACTATCTCGCATCTGCAGTATTTAGAGCGAAGCCAATCAGTAAAATCTGGTGCCACAGAAAATGGTGGATGAATAATTAGACCAGGGATGATAACAACTGAGTCTGCACACACTGACACTCCTACATCTTTATCAAAAGACAAAAAATAAACTGTAATATAAGGCCTCGTCTTTTAAATACACAACTGGGACACATTATCTGCAAATTAAAGGCCAGCGCTCAATACCCCACAGCATCAGTTCACACGTCTCTGTTAACATGTATTGACCCTTGTTGCCTCACAGCCGCATACACACCACACAGCACGCAAACCAACACACAAACTGGCGAGTGTGCATTATCTTCATTCAAAAAATAAATAAATAATAATAATAACAACAACTGATGGAAAAGGATGCTTTAACCCCTCGGGACCCCCCTCCCCTCCCATAACCCCCCCCCCCCCAATCTCCCTCACGCACACTCAAACACTGACATCCTATTTGTGCTGCAACAGGACAGAAAAAGTCAGCAAATGCATTAAACTCCTCTGCCCTCTTGGACTTTTGCGAGTAAACAGCCTACAGCTGTGGCCAGCATCAGCGCTCGAGGTCGCCCCTTTTTATCCGTGCGCGCGCCTGCAGATCCTTATCAGCCTCTCCTCCTATTCAACAGCCTCCATATTCACGACACCTCCACATATTCATCATGCAAAATGCAAATGCCGTTGTCTTTTTCATCTCAACAAACGCAGTGTGCACTTTGGAGATCTTTGTGCGTTTTCTCTGCGATCACCCAAGTGGAGTGCATGATGATTTTATGCTCATAATGAGCCCCTTTTATCATTTTAATCATATCATCAGATAATCACTGGGAGACACTGAGAACGTAAGAGGAATCCGAGCACTCGCTCAGGAAGAAAAACCATGGCTGATCAGGAAAGCATCCTTTCAAAACATGAACAAAAAAGTTACCAGTCTTTCTCCAAATGTGTTTTTGGAGTTTGATTCTACATCTCTGACCCTCCTTTGTTGCATTAATTAATTAATTTCAACACAATTTCCAGCCAGACACGCTAAAAGGCATGCACAGCCAACTTCAGCATTGCACTGGTGAGGGAGGCAACATGCAGATAAGCAACACTTGAAGAGACAATTTAAGCCTACCTTCTTGCAAAGAATACAGCAGAAGTAAAGTTACAAGCCACATGCCATTAAAAGCAGTTATATTTCACAGGAATGTTGTGCAGTCCCCAAGAAGAGTGCACGGCGCAGCGGTCGGCCAGGCAAGGCTCCGTGCTGGACTGGTTCTGCTGTTCTCCGGCGGTCTCTCCAGCCCTGGTCCCACACTCTCCAGCGCCGAAGAACGAGCAGCGGAGAAAGTACCGCCTCTGTACCCTGTTCTCTCCTCCCCTTACCGGGACAGGCTGCTGTCGCCCCACCCCCGGTATCCTAATGATGCGCCGCGGTGGAGAGGTGAGCCATACGTATAGGGGGACCAAACGAGAACCACTGGAACCTCTGTATTACGCGCACTGGAAAGAAATGTTTATCCGGTAGACTGATAGAGTTCCAAGTGTAAACTTCAAAAATCCCCGTCATACAAGTCATTCAAATCTTGTTTTAAATGCGAGGAAATTAAAAGAGAAAGGGAGACGCCTGCGCGTATTTTCCATGCAAATCAACTTGGCAATTTCCATAAACCGGTTTTCATTTTCTTAGCAACGGTTTTCCCGGAAAGTGAAGGTAAAATTGTCCACACCAACAGAGTGCGGCTTTGTAAAGGCATAAAAGACTGTTGGCACGCTGGAGTGCGAATTCCGGGCGAGAGGGAGCGCAGATAAGCTGCAGACTCCGGTTCCTTCCAGGGCAAAGTGGGAATGGACTCTTCGCTGCGCACCTGCGTGTAGCTACCAACACTGGTGGCGCTCAAATCGCTTTTCCGTAAAACGCACAGAATATTTTTGATATTAAAACAGCAGCAGGCAATTATCTACAATCAATCTCATTTAAAAGGGTGTGAATCAGGCCAATACTGCCACTGAAATGGTCAATAAAGTTCATTAAAATCGATCTGTGAATCTCTCTCTCACTCACACATATGGAGGGGGTGCGCGTAAAGACGCACTGATCTGAGTTGGTTGCTGACAACACGTGTCTTCTCCGCTACCCTATTTTTATCTATTTTATCATATTAAAATATCACTTTAATACATATGGTGTAACAAACATCTAAATATTTCAGCATACATACACCTAAATTGACTTCAATCTACTTTAAACAACAAATGTAAAGATGGTTTGACTTTTTGCAAACAACCTGCGTGCTGTGAAGTCACACAAGCCTGCTTTACATGTGTTTACACTGCAGCTCAGCACCTGACTAGGACACAATCTAAACATCCAACTTCAGTGCCCCTCAAGCATGTCTGTCTTAAGTATACAAACAGTTCATTGTAATCGGGATCTATGCAGGCCTTAGTGATCCAGCAGTCGCCCCACTGATGCAGTGTCATTATCAACCAGCTAATCTAGTGCTAAGTTCAGGTTTGGAAAGGTCATATAGTTTCCTGCAAAAATAATTTTAGGTTATTATATTTCACTCTAAGTAATTATGATGAGAAAACTTGATAAAAGACCTCAGAGATTCAACATGCATGGCTTCAATGTGCCCTCATTCAATCCTCTCCTCTTCTCCTGCCATCCAGTTCATCGCCTGAATGATCAACACACAGTGAAAGCGTGGCTGATTGTTGTTCATCCATTTCAGACCAACCACAGAGACTCCACTTGTTGTCCACTCAGTTGTACTACTTATCTGATATCAGCCACCTTCTACTTGACACGAACTCCCTTCTAACCTCGGCCGTCACTCGTTCTGTGTCTCTCTCAGCGGTGTAATGTGGTGCTCAGAGTGTCGTAACCAAAAGTAGCCCTAGTTGTGGAATTGAGCTGAGGCAAGCTGTGGCCTCTCTCACTCCCACTGAAGAGCCGCTGTAGTGTGGCAGGCAAGGAAGCACACTCTGCCTCCACTCTCTATTATGTAACAGGTGGAAGCACACACACCCACGCAACCTGTCTCTCTCTCTCTCTCACACAGACCCACAAACTTGAACGCACAAACACCATACAGCAACAACAGGGACATGTATAGAGGCGTGTAGCGTGAGCACTTTCATATTATATTCTGCACATCCAGATGTCTACGTCGAGGCTATTTTTATATATATCGACACATTTTCAGGTTTATGCACTTCACCAGCCACAACCCAAAGCCCAAGTTCAAAAGTGCAGCCTGTAGTGCACGGTGAGTGAGATGGGCACTCTTGTTTAGAAATCTGACAGCCCTCACGGAATATAATCTGCCTCTGCATCGTATTTTCTGCACCTCAGTACACCTCTGCCAGTGACAAACTGGTCATATAAGAGCAGGCAACATACTGACACTCAAACTAAGCTCTTTATACACAGATGCTCCACCCAGCTGCCCTGTATGGTGACACATGAGGGCTCTGTCAGGACTTCAATAAAAAAATAAAAAACACTGTGGCAAGCTGGTTAAGAGGCTGACGAGAGTCGGCCTGACAGCACCAAGCAGGTTATACTGTATGTCAGCCAGTGATCATCATGAGGCCTGACAGGCTGAGCTGGGCCAGCCAGGCCAGAGAAAAAGCAAGCAGCTCCCAGCCAGCTCCAGTGACTGTCACTGCGGACAGGACCCAGGACAGGCTGCCACCACACCGCTAAAAAACCACAGCAGTATGTGACTCATCTCCATCACTCCTCCCGACCGTTGCCCGGAGATATAGGGAAGGAGATAGGAAGCAAAGGTAGTGGGAGTGTAAGAGAGAGAGAGAGAGATTGTTGACTGAAGGGGTGAAGGAGTGAGCAGGACAGAGGAGAGAACCAGAGAAAGTCGAGGGATGGTCGAGGGGCGGACAGAGAGAGTGATGAGGCAGATAAGTTAATGTGGATGTTAATGTTAATGCTCAGACAATCAGAATTCCCCCTCAGGCCCTGACTACATGCTAGGATCATATTAGCACTAATGTATCCAGTATTAATGCACAGCCCCCAGCCCACTGAAACCTCAGCAAGGTTAGAATTAGGAGGAGAGGGCGCAGGGTACTACAGGGTGCTTAGCTCGGTGCAAGGTCACAGGGATCAAAATGAATGTAGGGACAGAGATGCGGGAATAGGGGCGATGGTGGTGGATTGTAGTTGAACGAGCAAGAAAAAAGGCAAATCACTCGATGGTGGGTCAAACCGAGGAGCTGTGATCCTTTAAAATCACATCTGGGCAGTGAAAATAGAATTTAGAAACACAAAAACTACACTTTCAGCCCTGAATATGGTCAAAATTAAGCAGCGTACTGCAGAATCTGCTCCTCAGTGGAGCAGCAAAGCTAGCTCTGCACGCCGTTTTGTATGAACGAGCCCCTGCATTAGGCTAATATGAATCACACACCACCGTGCTGCAGTACATTAACAGGAAGCTGCCAACCAATCGAGTGTGTTTGCCTTTAACCAAGCATGCGTGATTGTTGTAGCAGATGTGTGAAAGTGTATCAGCGCATCAGAGGATGTGCGCATTCGTGAGCATGTGTCTGCATGACGGCAAAGCGCAGGACGTACATTTCTGGCTGCTCCTCTACCCTACAGTCAGGGGTGTGTATTCGTATGTGTTTGCTCGAGTATAGATATCCGAGCATATGTGTGTTTTTTGCACGAGTACATGCGCACGCACACAAGACATCAAGGGGTGTTAATTTATTCAAATGAGCTGGGGAGGATAACGAGAGGATGGGGTGAGGGGCAGAGGAGGTGTATGTGCTGTAGGGGGGACACCTTCTTCGGCTGGAGGTTCATCGCTCCATTTTTGCACTCCCCTCCCCGCTTCACCATCCAACTTGCTTTTTTCAGGTTTGCAAATGAGACTATTTGCATGGCTGAGAAGGAGGGAGACAAGGGAGACAGGGGAGAAAGACAATGAGATTTAAAAAGGGAAAAAACTGGAGATGGGGAAGGATGCGATTCTGAAGCAGACAGAACGCCTTCAGACAAAAACACACTGTGCCAGGGCGATACCACCACTTCCAAGATGGCTGCCGCTGGAGGCGTCCTCTGTGGGACCAACCCAGAGACCGGCTGCTCTCGCTCCATAGCGGGTGACACACAAACACACTTTCTGACTTCAAATGTGTTCCTCAAGCATAACGAGGAGAATGAAATTTGCACAGCTCAGTAAAGGATTAACATCGTCATTTGAATATATTAAAGACTTCAGAAAGTCAACTTGTACAGAGATATTGATCAGAGATATCTAGTGACACCCAGTGGTCACGATTAAAGATGTTATCATTAGAAGACCATATACTGCTCTACTTTATGTAAAGGACGGTATTGGCATATTTTCTGTGGAGTGAATTTGTTGGTGACTTCAATTCAGAAGTGTTGGCCTATACATCAATAATCTCTGGTCAACTCCTTCTCTCAGTTGGAACAGCTGGAAACATTCAAAGGTCTGTGGTATTTGTATATATTTGCATGGTTCAGCTTTAGATAAGTGAAAGATAGTCTTCTGACAAAAATGTCTCATTATCAATCATACTTCTGACTGTGAGTCAATAATACTATTACCATATATCAAAATTAAGATGCAGGAACACAGTCTCAATTCTAATCCTAAATAAAGTTGTGTGTCATCAAATTACCACAAATGCACAAAACATGTCGAGATAGGTTCACCTCAGGAGTATCGGTTGGTCTCTTGACAAAAAATGATGCTGCCATGTGTACATAATGAAAACTTCAAAGCAACAGAGTGGAGGATGTTCTGTGGTGAGATTAGAGCACTAAAAAAATACACTTTCAATTATTTTAGAGTACAAAAACAACATATTCTATAATACTCTATGTATTTTTTTTGTAATATCATGTATTCCTGGCACCAAATATTCTTCCAGATATCAATTGCACTATCAAACTAATAGTGACTGATGATTGTTTATTGCATACTCTGGGTTACGAGGACTTTAAATGGTACAGTTATTAATATATAATCATAATGTCTGTCCATGTGGACTTTTCATGAACCACACTGCAGGGCATTTTAAAGAGCACCATATATAAATATGGGCTGAACAAACAGAAATAAACTACTGTTTACACCCAAATCTTTGCTGTTCTGGTCTGTTACTTCATATTAAG